AGAGAGGGTAAGATTCATGTCTTAAACCTGTATTAGCTGTGTTGATTTTTTTTTTTGTCATCTCACTTGAAGCAGATTGTGACCTCTCTTGATGTCTTGTCTTTCTACTGTAGAGATGCAGTGTGATGCAGCCCTCTATCCCCAGGGGTGTGAAGAGGAGACTGCCAACCCAAGGATGGTAAGATGCATTGTGCACGCCTCGCACTCTGTGGAGTTTCTTCATTTCTACTGTTTTCATTGGTCTAAGCACACTTGTTTGACTACTGCACATTTGCTGTTAACAGGTCCTGGTTTGGCTGTTCTGGATCCAGAGTGCGCACTGCGGCCTGCCGGAAGAAGAAGTGCAAAGGGTTCAGGGATACACTGCGGCCAACCCAAGCATTGGAGGTCATGAGACTTGCAATCTGTATACTCCGTGCACTCTGTGGACTTTTGTTACTCGTTCCTTGTTGCGGGTGTGTTACTCGGGCTTTGACCTGTAGACATCTTTGTTAACAGGTACGGGGGTTGGACTGGTCTGGTTCCGTGGAAGAAGAGCAGACCGTCACCTGCAGACAGCAGTTTTGTGACTCACTGTGGTAAGTTTCAGAGTTGAAGGTAAAGGATTGAACCTATTCAATATATTTCCATAAGAATTTATACATTGATACAAATTTTTATTTTGTATTAATAATAAACCTATTCAGACAATCTTGTCCTTTGATTTTATTCCTAGTAAGGATTTTTAATGTTTCAGATGTCTATTATTTCTTTCACCCTTTCCTCCAAAATGTGATTAAAAATTATACGACACTTGTATATGGGTGAATTAAAAAAAAGAAGTCCACTAAACTGAAATTTTTTGGAAAAATTCATCCACTTATAACATATTTTTCACTTATTTCATCATATTGCACATGCATTCTAGTTTAAAATCCTGAAGTGGCAATATAATAGACAATTGGATAAAAAAGTTTCAGAATTTTTATTAGTAACATTTCTTTTGAAAAAAGAAAATATCATTACACTTTAAAAGACGTTTTCAAATGCATAATCACAAGAAATTATAGGTTTTTATGCTTCAAAATGGCAAAAGGGGTATAAATTATTAAATTTAGATCTTGATTGAGTATCTTTTCTTGTATATGTGACAAAAAATTGGCTTTTTGATTGTTATTTTACGTTAATTTTTTTCAATTCTGGTTTGAAAAGTTTTAATATGAAAAAAATATGAATCAATAATATTCCCCAAAATTCACTTTTTTTTCCATTCAAGTCAATTCTTTAAATCTAAGCCAAAAAAGAATTTTTATATACGAGTTCTCTTATAGAAAATAGTAGATTTTGAAGTGACCCTATGTTACATTTTTATTTGCACTCCTGAGATCTGATATGTATTTTATTTAACATTGTTTTAAAAATTATAACACACAAATGCAATAACCCATTCTTACTTTGTAAACCAATTTGTCGTTTTGATATTTTTCATTGTTTATGGCAGGTTTTTCATATTTTGAAGTCCTTAAAACATGATTATTTGCAAAGTGTAATATATATATAATTGTATTTAAAAATATATGTGAAATGATAAGAACTATTCCCTGAATTGAGTGTAAAATTTCTGTAATTTGTTGTTAGACATAGTGTTTTGAACATCAAATAGTATCAAACATTTTTTTTTTTCAACTTATTTTTTAGTAAAGATACTAGTAGCTAAAAAGCATTGGTAATTATAAAGCAGTTTTGTTGCACTCCTGGCTGCAGTAAAATTTAAAATTAAAACCATAGAACACAAAAATTCATAAAGTGTTGGCAACATCAAGAAGTAATGAAATTGTGCAATATTTAGAGCCCAATACTTCATAATTTAAAGTATGAAAGTATTTAGAATTCGCATTTTATCTGGAGTTATTCCCTATTTATGCAAAAAAACTAGCTTAAATGTATATTTAGAAGATAAAATATATTTCATAGCATATTTTCCTTTAGAGGACAAACACAGTAACCCACCAGAAAAATTCTACTCATCATTTTTAGCTCACCTGAGCTTTTTGTCCGGCGTCCGTCTGTCTGTCCGTCTGTAAACTTTTAACATTTTGGACTTCTTCTCAAGAACCACCTGGCCAATTTCAACCAAACTTGCCATGAAGTATCCTTGGGTGAAGGGGATTCAAGTTTCTTCAAATGAAGGGCCACACCCTCTTTCAAGGGGAGATAATAAAGATTTAGTGAAAAATTAATAGCATCTTTTAAAAATCTTCTCAAGAACCACAGGGCCAGGAAAGATGAAATTCATGTGGAAGCATTCTCAGGTAGTGTAGATTCAAGTTGGTTCAAATCATGACCTGGAAGTGTAGGGCAAGGCCACAATGGAGGATCAAAGTTTTAACTAGAAATACAAAGGAAAAACTTTGAAAAATCTTCTTCTCAAGAACAGCACAGTCATGATGAGCCATATTTATATAGAAGCATCCTCAGGTAGTGTAAATTCAAAATTGTTCAAATCATGACCCCCGGGGGTAGGGTGGGGCCACAATGGAGGAACAAAGTTTTAACTAGAAATATAAAGGAAAAATCTTAAAAAATCTTCTTCTCAAGAACAGTAAAGCCATGTTGAGTCATATTTATATGGAAGCATCCTCAGATAGTGTATATTCAAGTTTGTTCAAATCATGACCCCTGGGGGTAGGGAGAGGCCACAATGGAGGATCAAAGTTTGACATAGAAATATATAGGAAAAATCTTCTCAAGAACAGCAAAGCAATGATGAGTCATATATATATAGAAGCATCCTCAGGTAGTGTAAATTCAAGTTTGTTCAAATCATGACCCCTGGGGGTAGGGTGGGGCCATAATGGAGGATCAAAGTTTTACATAGAAATATAAAGGAAAAATCTTAAAAAATCTTCTCAAGAACAGTAAAGCGATGATGAGTCATATGATATAGAAGCATCCTCAGGTAGTGTAGATTCAAGTTTGTTCAAATCATGACCCCCAGGGGTAGGGTGGGGCCACAATGGAGGATCAAAGTTTTACATAGAAATATAAAGGAAAAATCTTAAAAAATCTTGTTCTCAAGAACAGTAAAGTCATGATGAGTCATATTTATTTGGAAGCATCCTCAGATAGTGTATATTCAAGTTTGTTCAAATCATGACCCCCGGGGGTGTGGCGAGGCCACAATGGAGGATCAAAGTTTTACATAGAAATATATAGGAAAAATCCTCTTCTCAAGAACAGCCAAGCCATGATGAGTCATATTTATATAGAAGCATCCTCAGGTAGTGTAGATTCATGTTTGTTCAAATCATGACCCCTAGGGGTAGGGTGGGACCACAATGGAGGATCAAAGTTTTACATAGAAATATATAGGAAAAATTTTAAGAATCTTCTTCTCAGGAACAGCAAAGCCCTGATTGATCATATTTATGTGGAAGCATCTTCAGGTAGTGTAGATTCTATTTTGTTCAAATCATGACCCCCAGGGGTAGAGTGAGGCCACAATGGAGGATCAAAGTCTTAAATAGAAATATATAGGAAAATATCTACTTCTGAAGATCTGCAAAGCCATGATTAATCATTTTGATATGGAAGCATCCTCAGGTAGTGTAGATTCAAGTTTGTTAAAATGATGACTCCCAGGGATGGGGTAGGGCCACAATGGGGGATCGAAATTTTACATAGGAACATATAGGAAAATATCTTCTCAAGAACTGAAAATCTTGTTTAGTCATTTTGATATGAAAGCATCCTCAGGTAGTGTAAATTCAATTTTGTTCAAATGATGACCCCTGGGGGTAGGGTGGGGCCCAATGGGGGATCAAAAGTTTTACATAAAAACATATAGAAAAAATATTTCTTCTCAAGAACAGAAAAACTATGTTTAGTCATATTGAAATGGAAGCATCCTCAGGTAGTGTAGATTCATGTTTGTTCAAATGGTATTTAGACACTATCTAAAGACATATGCTGAGACATAAAAATCTATTTTCATCGCCTGTATTTTTAGTCTGGGTTGATAACTATGCATTTGGTCATTTTTTTTAATTCACCCATATGATAGGTTGAAGATGAAGCTTAATAGGGTGATGTTAATGAAATTTCTTTTTTAAGATGTGGAAAGGAATTGGTGATAGCAACTGTAAAATTCAACACTGAAGGATGTTGGCCCTCCTTGATAGTGAAATGAGCAGCTACAGCCAGACAGGAATAGGTGGGAAAACCTGGAAATGGCAAGACTGATGGATGCTAGCCCTCCATGATGTGGAAATAAGCAGTGCCAGGACAGGAATTGGTGGAAACAGCTGGAAATGCCAAGACTGATGCAGGGTTCTCCACATTTGAAAATTTAACCATGGAGGAAGCTGTGCGAAAGCGAAATGTGATCGAAAGCACGAACACTTGTTAGACTCTGTACTTAAGCTTCATTAATCAATGATTGAGCTCACAAAACTTAACCACTGCAAAACAAAAAATTGAAATAATCCCTAAAATTTTTTTAAAAAATTAAAATAAATAAAAGAAATAAAAAGGATGATGTATCTTACTTTACAAAAGTACCAGATGTACCAGAATTGAACCAAAACTGTAGGAGTGTTTTAAAATATTTTTTTTTATTTAATATAATAACCATTGCAACAATGTTCGTCGAATTCTATTTAAAAATTAATATACAGAATTGATCTTACCTGTTGCATGTCGAGTTTTATTTGAATAGGGCCAAAATTAATGAAGGAGTAGTATTTTTAAGAAAAAAAGTTTACAGATGCACATACGAACGAACACAGGCATCTTAACATTGCCTGAGCTTTTAACTGTATGTTCTTTGAAAACTTATAGATGGTATAAGTATCAAAACTTTATATATCCAGGGGCATAAATTTGACATAATTATAGTATTGCTTTCTCTGTTCTGTTCTTTCTAAACATTTCTACACTGCATTTTTCACCGATTTTCCTCCATTGTTTACTTCTCCATGTTTTCCAGTGCTAAAAATAGCACCACGCGACATTTCATAAAACGGGAGCTAACTATAAAATTAAGACAGTGATAATGGCATCATGTCCATTTTATCAGAAAGATAATTTTATTAATATTTAAAAACGGAGCAAGAGGATTAAATTAGACATCGTTACATTAAGGCCTGCTACGTCTCTTATCGCTTGTAAATCTGTGATTATATAGTGAACACATTGGAGTTGTGTGCAGGAAAATTAACTCGATCATCAGCTGATTGACTCTCAATTGTCATGGTACATTCGCCAATCCATTTGTTTAGCACAGTCTGCTTTCTCTTGAGGTGCATGCCAGTTGAGTATAAACACAATTAAGTACTCAAATCATGAAAAAGTAGGTGTCAATACTAAAATGCAATAAAAATATAATCATAGCGATCACTGATTTTAACCATGGCACAGCTCGTTTAACCATGGTGCTCATAAATTTAACCATAAAGCCCCTTGTGGAGAACCCTGCTGATGGATGTTGACCCTCCAAGATGTGGAAATGAGCTAATACAGACAGACAGGAATTGGTGGAAGAACCTAGTGGAAAAGGCAAGACCAATGGATGTGGACCCTTCAAGATGTGGAAATGAGCTACTACAGCCAGACAGGAATTGGTGGAAGAACCTGGAAAAGGCAAGACCAATGGATGTGGACCCTTGTAGATATGGAAATAAGCTACTACAGCCAGACAGGAATTGGTGGAAAAACAGGAAATGCCAAGGCTGATGGATGTTTACCCTCCAATATGTGGAAATGAGCTGCTACAACCAAATAGGAATCCAAATAGGAATTGGTGGAAAAACTTGGAAAATATAGACCTGATAGATGTTGACTCTCCAAGATGTGAAAATGGGAGATACAACTAGACAAAATTGGTGGAACAACTGGAGGACAAGATGATGGACGTGGCCTTCCCAGCAGCAATACTTATCACTGTGGATAACTGTCACTGATCAGGTATGTAGCATTAATAATCTAATATCATTTTTTTTTTAAAAAACAACAGCAAAAGAGCAAAAGAATATCTAATCCTTGAGCTATATGATATTTTACTTAGATTTTCTTAATCTCTGTTTTATACCATCATAGATTCTGAAGTTTATGAACTTCTATTTTATAGAATGCTTTGATGAGTTGGTGACAGAACCCATTAGGAAACTCAGATGAAGTAAGGTGGATGTGCTTGACATTTTGAATGTAAAGGAGCCCTCAGGTAAAGGAGAGTTATTCAAGTATGCCATTCTGTGTGACTCTTTGTTCCTCATTTTTACTTCATCAGATCTGATGGTTACCTTTTTCTCATTCTTTGACAGAAAACAAAAGTTTTGAAGAGGCACATCCATGTCATCAGATATGAGAAAGATTAAGAAGAAATTCTGCACAGAGCCAGATCTCTGAAGTACACACAAACAAATCTAATTTACAATGTTATTTTTTATTGTTTATTATTTACTATGTAATCATTATTATTGTTTTATCAGAAAACAAATTTTATTAATTTTTTTTTTTGAATGGGTGTCTGAGTTATAAGAGGGTATGGGGTCGCCCACTCAGACACGTGGGTTTTCTCCGGGTACTCCGGCTTCCTCCCACACTGACCCCATTCTTTTTCTCTATGCCAATGAGATAATTATGTTATCTTTTTTATTTTATATAGATATCATTTATCATTATTTTGCTGTAATGTTATTTTATTTTATCATCAATTATAATTATATTTTAAAATTGCTTAGAGTAAATTGTTCTGAGGACCTACCCCGGTAGTCTGTACCCTGGGGCATTACTGGTTGGAACTTCAGGTTCCTTGGGCACATGGTTGCCAGGCTGCTTTGTTTTTTTTTTTTTTAAAAAAAATCTTTATTTTTGTCTTATCCAACATCAAACAAATTATATTTAAATGTTACAGAAGGAGTAACTAACTATATTATTATTCCTAGAATGTACAAATTCACTTACCTATTATATTAATAATAAGGGTAGATAGTGATTATGAATTTATTGTCTAATTGAATACATATGCAGTATGTATTATTTAGATGATTATATATTGTAAATGTTGAATTATGGTAACATGTACTAATTCAATTATCTGTTGTAATATTAGTATGATTAACAGTGACTATGAATTCATTGTGTATAAGTGAATGTATATGCATATATTAGTGATGTGACCATAGATTAAAGTGTCAGGAGATGTAAAATTGTGATTAGTCTATACAGATTCATATAATCTGTTGTAATTAGATGGTAAAACAGTGATTAAGAACTTGTTGTGTTATTGAACGTATATCGGCATTTATTATGGATATGATTAGCTGTGCACTGAAAGAACACATTAATTGCTCTTGTAATAGTAAATGTTAAATTGTACACTGAACAATGAATTGTGACTAGTTATCCAGTGATAGAACATGTAAAAGTTAATTATATTAGTAGTAAATGTTAAGTTGTGACAGTGAATAATGAATTGTGACCAGTTATGCAGTGATACATGTACATGTTGAATTTTGACAGTGAATAATGAATTCTGACTAGTTATGCAATGATAGTATATGTATGTATGTTAAATTGTGACAGTGAATGATGAATCCAGAATAGTGAAATGTTAAGTTGTCTGATGTCATTGGCCAAAGTTTTGTGCCAAAAAAAAAAAAAAAAAAAAAAAAAAAAAAAACAATAAAAAAAAAAAACAGAAACAAAAAAACAAAAACAAAACAAAAACAAAAAATGAAAAAAAAAAAAAACAAAAACAAAAAATGAAAACAAAACAACAACAACAACAACAAAAAAACATACAAAAAAAAAAAAAAAAAAAAAAAGAAAGAAAGTTAAAGAAAAAAAGCACAAAACTTTTAATGCTGCCTGCTTGAAAAAAAAAACAAAACAAAAAACATTGCTTCCATTTAGGATTTGCATTTTTTCAAGCAGAAGGTTCCAAGCCCTTAAAAGCAGAGGAGAAGTTTTTGTGTTATACATACATGTTAGGGATGGCAGTTTGTAACCAATTTACCGCAGGTTACTTGGTTTTTGCAGTGGTAATTGGTTAGAAGATCTATAATCAACTAGTCAGGGAAAAAGTCAAAATGTAAGATAATTTCCCTAAAGAAGATGGGTGAACATGATGAGCAAAAAGCCTATAGTGTGAAAAAATGAAGGTGAAAAATTAAATTTTAATTATATCAAAAATTTCCTTGGCCTTTCATCTAACATTAACATATACTTCATGTAAAATCTCTACAATTTGCAAAAATCTCACAAAGATTGAAATTATATGCTTATGAAATATTATACACACACTAAAGAGGACAAAAAGAGTCATTTTCTCACACTATAACACTATTTTTTGATATGAGTGGGTCTTCGATCCATTTTTTTTTTTGAAAGTTAATCCTCAAAGTTTGCATAAAAATATACATTTGTTGGTTTCCAAAAATAGACCCAGTATACCTTAAAAAAATACTTTTATGATATAACATACGCATCTTTTCGAGAAATAAGTCCATTAAGTCAAGGGTCATATCACAAACATGTTTAAATGATACTATTCATCAGAACTTGTGTAGTCTACGTGCTAGTCTGGAAAGAAAATGATACTCAGGATTTTTATTGCAAGGGTTTGAACCCCACAAATAACACATTATTTTTTTTTAATAAGAATAAATTTTGCCAAGAAAATTTTCCTCAGAAAAGTTTTGTTTATCATAATTTCATAAATTTCAATAATGACAACTTTACTCTAAATACTAAAGTCAAAAATTGAAATTATTTTTATATATCTGAAGCTATAGGCTCTGTGCACACTATGTTCACCCATCTCCTTCACTTTACAATGTAAAAAAGGACCTCTGTGTTGATAAGGTATAATATCATTTTTCACATACAAGTTTATTTCAATTAATTTTGAGGTTATTAAGTAATGATTTCCAGATTGAAATTGCTGGGATTATTGGTCAGTTTGTGAAGTTTTAATTGGTGTTTATACACCAAGTTGTTACCCACCCTATTCTTTATTACTTTAATGATATTTAATAAATTCCCCATTGAGCACTGTGAACTGATTACAATGTGTGTATCTTACCTTGTCTGTCCTCTGCAGTTGTCAAATTGTTTTTTTTTAACAAACATTGTTATTTAAGTGAAAGTTCAGACTCTGTTTCTGTTTATGGTGACAAGGCAGAATGACCTTACATAATATCTGGTCTGAAAAAATACAATGTCTTTGATATTTCAGGGAAGTTTCTTAATATTTATGCCTCTAGAAATTGAAATGAGATAAAGTGTTCTGATCAAACATACACAGAATATATGTAATATAACATCTTTTTAACCGGGTTTTCCATAGAAAAAATCCAGTGATTAAAGGGGGTGGGTGGGGGGGGGGACTGCCAAAAGGGTACCCTATTTGTCCAGGTAACTCCTACAGTTTTCAATGTAAGAACCTTTTACTTTGCAGATTAATTGTTAATATATCAGATATGTGCATGTTTGGATTTTAATTTTTTATAATTTATGAGAAAGTATAAGCTTTTGAACTTATTCACGTTTTTCATACAAATTGTTAGGCCATTATTTACATACTGAATTGTCCACGGATTTTTCCGTTATTTCCCGATCATGACAAGGAGCACACGGTGGGTTTGACCGGTCGGCAGGGGATGCTCACTCCTCCATGGCACCTGATCCCACCTCTGATGTTTGGAGGTCCGTGTTTGCTCTGCTCCTATTTTGTATTGTTTGATGGACTATTGAGTCTGAATACTGTTCGTTATCTTCATATATATCATTGACAGCTTTCCTCTTGTTTTTCAGTTTTTCTGTTTATACAAAGAGAGTTTCCTTAGCAAAGGGTCAGGAAAAGTGTGTTTTGATATGATTAACTGGTTAATCAGTTGAAATGTCTCCAGGTTAACAGATTAGCAGTTCCATCCCTTTAATTCATGTAAAACCCAATTTATTACTAATAATTAATGATGTTCCAAAAGTTCTTTTCACAAACAGATAGGGCAAGAATTAAAATGGAGGTATGGTCGGTGACCTAAGTATTAATTTTTTTTAGGTACCTGAGTCGTTCAGGTGCCCCACTGCTATCTGTTTTCATCCATCTTCATGCTTTGTCTGTCATGCATCATCGATTTACAATTGAACAATTTTTAGCTTCTTTGCTGGAACTGCTGATTCAGAACTAGTTTCAACCAATTTTGGCATAGAACATCTATGAGTAAAGGGGAACAAATACTATGAATTTCATTGTCCCAGCTTAGGAGTGGGGCTAAATCCATTAAAATTAGTGCTATGTTTTCATAATTCTCTTATAATATTCCTGGACATGGAAGCAGTAAAATTTTTGGCTTGATTGTAATAAGCATTAAATTCTTTACCAAAACTGTGATATTCATGGCCCCAAGTGTCAGGGATTCTGGAGTTAGGGTAGGGCTTTTAGGATTATAAAGTGAAAATGCATAAATTCTTTTAAAATCTCTCTCCCCTGCATACAAAGCAGATAAACTGGGTGCATGGTTATAATGATCAAGAATGCTTCTTGAAATTGTGAAATTTGTTATCCCAGGGTCCAAGGTTTGGGGGGGGGGGGGGGGGGTTGATTATATAGTAAAAGTGCATTGTTATCTGTTCCTGTGTATTCAGCAAACAAATCAAGTTTATAGTTATCATGTACATAGGTGCGTTTTCCAAAATTATGAATTCTTGACCCTGGGGTTAGAGGTTCTTGTGTAAGCTTAGGACTCTGTTGACTACCATGGTACATAGTGAAAATGCATTAGTTCTCTGAAAATGTTCTCCTCTGCTCTTGGGTTTTAGCAGAAAAAAAACTAAGTGCATGCTTATGATGTGCAAGGATGCTTCTTTCAAAATTTGTTGCCCCAGGATCAGTGGTTGAATTTTAATGGGATGGAGGCTGTTTAGTTCATTGTGAAAAATGTTTTATTTCTTTGAATATCTTCTCTTGTCCAGGGTATTTTGCAGTTAAACTAAATGCGTAGTTATGATAAGCAATGATGCCTCTTCCAAAATTTTGAATTGCATGGCCTCTGGGTCAGGGGTTTTTGTGTTAGGGTGGGGCTCTATTGAATATACAGTGAAGATGTATTAATTCTTCTCTGCTCCTGTGTATTTAGTGGATAAACTAAGTGCATGATAAGAATCAGCAAGATTGCCTCTTTCAAAATTGTGAAATTTAATGTTTGTCCATTCCATTTATTTGTTTTTACATTAAGATTTTATTTACCAGATAATTTACAATAAATTATGTTAGCAATCTAAAAAAAATTCTGGCTTTTGTATATAGTTATTGTAAATATATTCCTTTTGATGTGACGTCAAATAAACAACGAATTTTTTTTTAGAGTTGTATTTGACTATTTTCAAGTATGCATCCAGTAA